CGGGGGATATGAGTTATGCAGCAGAAACAATAGAATACACGCAATATTCCTGGATTCCCTCAATTTCCCAGCCTCCCTTGCAGAAGGGCAAGGTCCCGTGGCTAGTTCTGGCTGGTGGTCTGAGTGGAGGCCTGTGTCACACCTGCCTGAGGCTTCCAAGTGTCCACGTGCTTCCTCCCTCTCGCTCTTCCATCTTCCACAGTGACCCAGAGGCGTCTCCCGGATGGCGTGGCTGCCCCTGGAAGAAAGGTCTCCGGTCCCACATCAGGCTCCACATGAGTGGCAAAGAAGGCATTTTTGTGCCAAGCCACCAAAATGTCAGGAGTGCTCAGTGGCGACAGCTAGTGTTAATTACCCTGCCTGCCACAGGAAGGGCTAATTGAGGCAATGGACAAAAACCCTCTGAGCACAGTGGGGCTGTTTTTCTTAAAGAAGAGACCTAAGCCCCTCTATTAGTCAGTTCAGCTGCCATGACATCTTCCACAGACTGGGTGGCCTAAGTGACAGACATTTCTTCTTCACAGTCCTGGGAGCTGGAAGTGCAAGATCAGGGAGTCCGCACGTCAGGGTTGGGTGAGAGCTCTTTCTGACTTGCAGACAGTTGCCTTCTCCCTGTGTGCTCCCAGGGCAGAGAGAAAGAGACACCTCCCAAAGGCCCATCTCCAAACATCACCACACTGGGGGGAGGCTTCCGCATGGACTTGGGGGGACACAATTCAGTCAATAGCACCCGCCCATCAAGACAGAGCTGCTCAAAGCCCTCCTTCCTGCCTTGATGCTTGACTGACAGGTGCAGGCCTGGGCCTCTGGGGCTCTGGAGACAGGCCAAGCTGGGGGGCCTTCTCTGCAGAGCAGGGGCTGGGCCAGCCGCTGACGCCCCTCCCTCTGCCACCCTCCACCCGCCGAGGTTCTGTTTGCCATGGAACCTCATTACTCAGGTTGGCAGTCCCCTGGGCCTTTTGGAAGTACTGGGTGGGCTGGGCCTCTGGGAGCTGGAAAGGAGGCCCCAGTGCCAGGAGAGTAAACACCCCGGGGAGATGTCTTGACATCCCAACAGGAGGCTCAAGATCAGTTCAGATTGGGGGACCAAGAAGAGGTGGCTGAGTTACCTGGGAAGAAGGGAGTGGAGGCCTGGAGCTTGGACCCGCGGGCTGCAGGACAGGGTGTGGAGAGCAGTTTACTGGCGCAGACTGTGGGTGAAGGTGGGGAACAGACAGGCAGGCAGGGGCAACATGCCAGGCAAGATGGGGTTTCAGCAGGGGGCTTGGAGCAATTGGGAGACGTGAGGCAGGACCCAGGGCAAGGAGGTGAAGCTGTTCAACTGCCGGTGGACACCTAGGTGGCAGCTGGTTCCCGAGGCATCCTCTAACCTCCTTGGCCTCATGCCCAGTGCTGCCTTCCTTCCAGAATCACCATTGTTAATAATAATAAAAGTAGCACCATTGTTTTGAGATTGTTTTGTTTGTCAGGCTCTCTGCCAAGCACTCTACCCAATTAACTCATTTAACCCTCTCAACAACCTTCCCCTTTTACAGGCAGGAAAGCTGAGGCTGAGAGATGTTAGAACCTTCCCTAGTCATTCAGCTAGTGAATGTGGGACCAGTCCAACCTTCCTGAGCGGGTAACCTAACCATTGGGATGTCTTGCCTCCTAGAGATGCCAACAGAGGTTGAAGGAAGCCCAGGGCCCTTCCTCCTAATGAGTGATGGTGGTATGTGTGGGGAGGTGTACCAGGGGCGGGTCCCCTGACCCGTCTCCTATACCCCGGTGGACTGTCCCTGCTGGAACCAGCTTGGGGCCTGGAAAATAACTTCCATTTAGCTGACTTGATAAGTACTCGGCGGGCCCAGGGCTATGGGTCCTGCCCTCAGGGACCTGAATTCCAGGCCCAGAGGGACTGCCAGGGACTGGGCCAAGGAAACCTGCCCTCTGCTTCACCCCCAGTGGTGTCCAAGGCAGACTCAGTGGGCCTGAGCATTCCACTCATTGGACAGGTGAGTTAGTGAGCACTCATGAGCTACTAGGTACAGAGGCAAGTGAGGGGCCTCTGCCCTCACAGTACTTAGGGCTAGTGGGCATGGGTGGGGACTGGCACCATCCTGGACCTGAAGGCCAGAAAAGTGGGCCCAGCTTTTGCCCTCCAACACCTCCCAACTCATATTGTGGGTAGCCACTGGCCACATGAGCTGTGGCCTCTACCGACCCACTGTATTGATGTGTTTTTTGGGGGGGGGCGGGGGGCAGTTCTTGAAATAAGCTACAGGGAGGAAAAGACAGAGCTCCTCAGATCTTTTCTCAAGAGCACATTTTCAAATGCAGAAGCAGGCAAGGGTGGGTGAGGTGGGAGCCGCATCTGGGGGAACAGTGAGGAAGGCCTGCCTCCCCCAGCTCCACCCATTGCCCCGGGTGCTCTCCCTTCTGAGTTTCCTCTCTCCTCCCCTCCGTTTTGCCCCCAAACTTCACAGATAAATTCTTCGACAATTAATCGATTCATCGGGACTGGAAGAGGTCGTCTTGTCTTGCAGATTCTTACAGCTGACAGGACGGGGACCCCTAGCTGGGGCTGGTTTATCCAAAGGTAAGGGGTGGGGCAGTTTGGTGCAGCCCTGCAGAGGAGGGGCGGAGGATCAAGAAGGAAGCGATTTTCATTTCAACATGTAAGTTTTGCATAATTTTTCAAAATACCGCTTCATTTTACAGCTTTATATATATATATTATATATGCACACACGCACACTATACATATATATTTCTAGGAAGTCATATATATAGGGAGCCCCTGAATCTGTGAAACCAGGCCTGTGCGGGGCTTGGATCAGGGTCTCCTGGCCCCCCCC